TAACATATAACCATTATATTTAAAAACAAACTGAATGCAAATATTTTCACTGTCTTTTTTTTTTTTAAATAATGAACACACAATTCATGATAACAACATGAGAAGACAATATGTAACATATGTAGTATGACAAACTAAACACACAAGGTGTGTACACATTTGAAACTATTAAATGATTTTGAAATGTAATTGCCACAAAAATACGGAAAAAACCAAGTAATTTTACATCTGCACATTTTAAAAGTAAAAAACAATATTCTGAATTTTGGTGTATGCAATAATTGATAGAATAATTTCATCAGCAACTAAATCAAATGCAAGTGTGTACAGTTTATTTTTTGTCTTCTCCATGTATGTTCTGTGGCCCAATTGTGGGAAAAACAGTAGACCCACACCCTCACCAACAAGCATTTCTTACGAGTCGACTAACTGGGGGCATCCTTCAAAGTCGGAGTGAATCTGCCTGAGAGGCAAGGAACCAAGAGTCTGCATACAAATAAGCCAGATCTGTGGAATGGATGTGCACGCAACACTCAGGTTCTGAACAAGACTAAAGTCCTGAGGTGGATGAACACCCAGATGTTTTCCACCCGAATTTACAGCCGGTAAAACGCAAACAAGAAAAAGGCTCATTATCTGCTACAAGTGGCTAACAGGGTCACCAAAACTCCATGAGAGGCAACCAATTATACTTGAAATTATAGAGAAGTCACTGGCTTCAGATGGATAGACAGAATTACACATAATCACACTATAAATAATATAGGTACCAGTGTATGCAAGAAATGTATAGAGACAAGAAATAAACTGATAAGCCAGCTATCAACTTGTATCTACAACTAAAATGTATGGCTGTAGATCTTGAGAAAGTGGAGGAACAGATTCGTTTCAGAGCAGACTGCACAGACAAAAATTTAATGAGTGTACACAGGTGGCTCAGGATTGGAAAGCAGGCAGCTTGGTTCTACCATGTTTTCCCAAAAGTAAAATAGGGTCGTATTTTAATTTGTGTTTCAAAAAAATTAAATGTAATCAGGATTTTTTTTTAAATGCATGTACAAAATTCCAAATATTAAAATAGTCATCTCCATAACTCTTCAAATTCTTGTGACTCAACTTCTAGTGGAACCCTTTGTCCTAGCCTCTCATTCTAGATGCCGATCTTAATTTTAGGGCTTATGTTTATATGAGGGTCTATTCTAAAAGCATCTTGAAAAACCATGGTAGGGCTTACTGTAGTGGTAGGTTTTTTTTCCCAGAGAAACACAGTATTCATCATCAAACAAGATAACTAGAACCATGGATTAGGTTTTACGTCCTTGTGTTGCTCATGTCATCAAAATTTTTTTTCTTTTATAAATGGAGCAGCATGTTTAAGATAAAAACATTAATCAGTCTTGATCTGAAAGACCCCATATAATTCAGTAGTGAGTTTTAAAAGGGTGGGTTAAACATGTGACATACACAATTAAAATAGCGAGGAATGTCATACCTAACGTGATAGATGTTTTTGGCTAAGATGGTAGGTGATTTAAAAAAAAAAAAGTATTTTCTAATACCCACATTTTTTAAACTCAAACTGACCCATATAAAAATATATGTAGCAGTACATGTACATACACAATGTCTAAAAATTATCTTCACAACTTTAGACATTTCATTATTCATACGTTGGATTAGAAATGTCCAAGTATCTGCAGTTTTGTTTCTTGCAGAAATATTGCTTTTAAAAAATCCTTATGAGGCAGGAATGTTGGCAAGGGACCAACAGGCTGTCCAACAGAGTGATGGAAGCAAAGTTCTGCAAAAATCCACCTAAAAGTGTTTAGAAGATGGGATAAATGATTTCAGCAGACAACTCTTACATGGCACTTATAGTTATGAGTTAAGAACTGACATCATAGCATTCAGGACATTCCCATAAGTGCTCCACCCCCACCTTTAGCAGCAAGCACAGAGTTCCAGTTCCAATAAGTGCCACTAATAGTCTGAATATGTCTTTGTTGAGCATCATCCAGATCCCCTGGATCCCTCCTCACTTCACGACCCTCCCCTGAGCCTCACCCAGATCCCTCCTCACTTCACCACCCTCCCCTGAGCCTCATCCAGATCCCCTGGATCCCTCTACACTGCATCACCCTCCCCTGAGCCTCATCCAGATCCGCTGGATCCCTCCTCACTTCACCACCCTCCCCTGAGCCTCATCCAGATCCCCTGGATCCCTCCTCACTTCACCACCCTCCCCTGAGCCTCATCCAGATCACCTGGATCCCTCCACACTGTGTCACCCTCCCCTGAGCCTCATCCAGATCACCTGGATCCCTCCACACTGCGTCACCCTCCCCTAAGCCTCTTCCAGATCACCTGGATCCCTCCACACTGTGTCACCCTCCCCTGAGCCTCATCCAGATCACCTGGATCCCTCCACACTGTGTCACCCTCCCCTGAGCCTCATCCAGATCACCTGGATCCCTCCTCACTTCACCACCCTCCCCTGAGCCTCATCCAGATCAGCCTGGATCCCTCCACACTGCATCACCCTCCCCTGAGTGTTGAGCGTCATCCAGATCCGCTGGATCACTCCCACACTGCACAATTCTCTTCAGACTGATGATCTATTTGATGACCCATTCCATCACTTTCTCAAGAAATGCAACAAATCTTGTATTGTTAAATTCTGGTCAATGTATTATCTTGGATAAAAATTGTAAATATAACTTCCAGACACAAGTAGTTATTTAAAAAAACAAAAAAGCAACAACAACAAACATCTTTAAAATCTATGCAACAAACAAAATACATAGACAGCGAAATGGGTAATATAATGCATCTATTTGAAATGAAATATGTATCAATGTGAAATATGAATACAAATATCGTGCTTATCTTTTAAAATCATTTAAAAATAAATAAATAAGACACCCCCCCCCCTTCCAATTTCATACCCTTGCAGCTTATTTAGGATATGGCACTGCGCCCGTATATTATTATATGCTTGACCAAATTTCACTTGATAGGTGAAGAGGTCAGTATCATGTCAGGGGATTTTACTCATAGAAGATTTACACCTTTTCTTCGACTTACGACCTATGCGATTGAAGGAAATCCGCAATTACAACAATGGGGGGAAAAAAGGGAATACATTGGCAGGGTCAGACAGTTCCTAGAACTGATACCTAGAGCGTAGCTGGGTCTAACTGTATGTAAAGATTGAATTTGTGTGTTTCACATACACATTTTTTCCTTTTAGTTGGAAAAAAACTTGGCTGATGTTGAGAAGACCCTGTTTCAGTAATAATTTCCAAGACTGGTTTTACTATAGAGTTGTTGAGTTAAGTCAAGAATTGACATCACAGCACTCGGGGCATTCCCATGCATGCTCCATCCTCGTCTTCAGCAGCCAGCGCAGAGTTCCAAAACTGACGGTACCGGTCACAATCTGGTTGTCTGACTATAGAGGTAATGATACAATCCACCCCCCCCCCCCCAAAGAATCTGAACACAGGATAACTGGATCAGCATGCAAGAGCACTTGACTGGATCAGCATGCAAGAGCACTTGACTGGATCAGCATGCAAGAGCACTTGACTGGATCAGCATGCAAGAGCACCTGACTGGATCAGCATGCAAGAGCACTTGACTGGATCAGCATGCAAGAGCACCTGACTGGATCAGCATGCAAGAGCACTTGACTGGATCAGCATGCAAGAGCACCTGACTGGATCAGCATGCAAGAGCACTTGACTGGATCAGCATGCAAGAGCACCTGACTGGATCAGCATGCAAGAGCACCTGACTGGATCAGCATGCAAGAGCACTTGACTGGATCAGCATGCAAGAGCACCTGACTGGATCAGCATGCAAGAGCACCTGACTGCAGCATGCAAGAGCACCTGATTGGATCAGCATGCAAGAGCACCTGACTGGATCAGCATGCAAGAGCACCTGACTGCAAGAGCACTTGACTGGATCAGCATGCAAGAGCACTTGACTGGATCAGCATGCAAGAGCACCTGACTGGATCAGCATGCAAGAGCACCTGACTGGATCAGCATGCAAGAGCACTTGACTGGATCAGCATGCAAGAGCACCTGACTGGATCAGCATGCAAGAGCAACTGACTGGATCAGCATGCAAGAGCACCTGACTGGATCAGCATGCAAGAGCACCTGACTGCAAGAGCACTTGACTGGATCAGCATGCAAGAGCACTTGACTGGATCAGCATGCAAGAGCACTTGACTGGATCAGCATGCAAGAGCACTTGACTGGATCAGCATGCAAGAGCACTTGACTGGATCAGCATGCAAGAGCACTTGACTGGATCAGCATGCAAGAGCACTTGACTGGATCAGCATGCAAGAGCACTAAACAAGGTGCCACCAATCAGTTTATTATTTCTGTAATGCTAAGTTTCCAGGTAAGGAAAATACATAACAAGCCTTACTGCAAAGTACAAAGTGCCTTGCATAAGAACAGACTTCTACTAGCGCAGTGCAGGAGAAACAATTAATTACTGGGTTAGTTCGATGTTAGTCTCCACAAACCATGCTCACTTCTGATTGGTAGTTTCCAAACTGCGTGACCTTCACGCAAGGTTACGTGGGTATTCCGCAATGCTGTTGATATAGCGTGTTGTATACTTTAGCACGTCAGCGCTTTTAACTCTAAAAACATGGACAAACTGGGTCTAACACAACCCCCCTAGAGAGTGCTGCAACCTATGTCACAGGCATTCTCATTATGAGAATGAAAACGTAAATGCAAGACATCGGAGAAACCAAAAAACAGAGCAGGACACACCCGTAATCTTCAGGAAAGTCGACCAGTTCAACAAACTTGTGAATGAAAAGTGACCTACTCTATTTGGGGAGACTAATGTCGAACTAACCAATTACTGAGCTACTTAAGAAACATTAAAATGCGTAAGACATAATATTTTGAAATTACATCAATATGTTGAATTCCACAGAAACGATGAGTGTACAAATTAAAAAAAATTCAATCTTTGCTGCCACTTCGAGATCTACGATCATCATCATCATCATTGTCTCGTCCATTGTCATTGTCTTCCTTAAATCTGTCACCAGCAACTTGCTCATTAGAGTTGTCAAGCTCCTGCTTTGGCGTCTTTGAACGGCTTTTTGATTTGGAGCGAGACCTGAAACAACAGGAGAAAAATATTTGTAGGCACAATATCTTCAACACAAATCATCAAATGTAATAGAAAACTCTATAGAGAAGTGAGAACAATAGGATGCTTACGACTATCAGAAAAAGTCATCCTCTGCGGAATGTTTCCATTCCTGAGTTTCATACTTTTATTAAATATGTTCAATGAAAAATCGACATCACAGCACTCAGGACAGTCCCATAAGAGCTCCATCCCCATCTTCAGCAGCGAGCACAGAGTTTGAATTCCAATGGCACCAGTAACAGCCTGATTGTATGTCCATCTTGCCTTTCGCTTAAGTGGTGAGCATCGGGCAGATTCCCTTGTCACTCCTCACAGCACCATATTCCTCAGAACCTGATGATCTATTTGTATCTACGCACTGTTCATTAGCTCCCCAAAGGACCTTACAACATCTAGCTTGTTATGCATCAATTCACCAACAAGTGCTGCAGAACCAGCCCGTCTATCTGCCTGTTCGTTCCGACAATACTGGCATGAACTGGAGAGAAAAAAAAACCCAAAGGACCCTAACTACCTAGGACCTCTGAAACAATGCTTGGTACTCCTATTAAACATAACAAATATGAAATGCATCAACAATCACAAAACTTCATCTTCTTATAGTCCATGCCATGTGATGTTAGTGGTCTGTCTGCCTACAGCCTTCTATCACATGTACTGTGAATCAATACTTCTTCTTTTTCTTTGCCCAAGTAACGTAATTGCATCTTGCCTGTTTACAGCAAAGCTGCAGTATTTGCATCTTATTGGCCGACACATGGAAATTCATCAAGCATTTGTTGACCGGGTTAACTTCCCAGATTGTTTCATGGGACATGATGTATCCTTACTTGTGTGGTGTAGTTCAAGGGACATGAAGTATCCTTATTTGTGTGGTGTAGTTCAAGGGACATGAAGTATCCTTATTTGTGTGGTGTAGTTCAAGGAACATGAAGTATCCTTATTTGTGTGGTGTAGTTCAAGGGACATGATGTATCCTTATTTGTGTGGTGTAGTTCAAGGGACATGATGTATCCTTATTTGTGTGGTGTAGTTCAAGGGACATGAAGTATCCTTATTTGTGTGGTGTAGTTCAAGGGACATGATGTATCCTTATTTGTGTGGTGTAGTTCAAGGGACATGATGTATCCTTATTTGTGTGGTGTAGTTCAAGGGACATGAAGTATCCTTATTTGTGTGGTGTAGTTCAAGGAACATGATGTGTGGTGTAGTTCAAGGGACATGATATCCTTATTTGTGTGGTGTAGTTCAAGGGACATGAAGTATCCTTATTTGTGTGGTGTAGTTCAAGGGACATGATGTATCCTTATTTGTGTGGTGTAGTTCAAGGAACATGATGTATCCTTATTTGTGTGGTGTAGTTCAAGGGACATGATGTATCCTTATTTGTGTGGTGTTCTCTTTGTCCCCTTATCTACAGGAGCTGCCCGTGCAGAAACTGTGCAGGGTGCATCTACTGCCATCTAAAGATGCTTCCATAAATACAGGGCTGACATATAATGTTCTGGTCCTGGGCTCACCCAGGGAATCCTAATGTCCTGTAGATGACTGTTTAAATGATTGCAATCTAATGGTCTTACACATGATATGATGCCAGAATATCCAACATCTATTCTCTTGGTCTCTCTTTGACTCTATCTTTCTAACTTTCCCACTATCTACACAATGTTTACCATCTCTAACTGAGCCCAAAGGTGCGGACTTCTTTTCTCTTATGTAGTTTATAAATTCTATTCATGTGTTAATTGCTTTCAAAAGGAAAGGCCAACCCGGTCAACAAATGCCTGCAGAAGTTGGATGTGTCAGCCGAAAGACACAAATATAGCAGCTTTGCTGTAAATGGATACAACACAATTACATCTTCCAATTAATGCAGAAGAAAAATTGCAAGATATCTTCATTAAGTATTTTATCTGTCCACAAAGTACCTATTATTCATTATTCTATACAATACAATCGCCCCAGCTTCTACATAATTTTTCACGAACTGGCAGATTATCAATGATTCATTTCCATACACCAGGATGGACTAAAGATAGAGAGATAATGCAGTTAGAGTGAACCAGAACTGGAAGCTTCAATAAAATCTGCACCCGTGTGGTGTTCTGGGGCCACACACAAAACAAACCCTTTGTGCTCTTAAACATGCATGTCATAAAAGCTGACTAATGAGGGAGGGGTGTTTCCTTCAAAGCAGGAGTGCCTCTGCCTGAGAACCAACAGTGTGCACTCACATTAGCCAGATCTGTAAAACAAATGTGCACAGAAAACTTAAGTTCTGAAACAAGACCAATGTCAAGAAGTTGAGGAACAACCAAAACCTTTCATCAGAGTTTACAACCCGTGAACGTTCAGAAGAATATGATCTGCAGGCGAACAGAAACTGAATAGAAAACACAAACCTGGTACAAATAGGGCGCATTAACAGCTCTTAAAAAACAAATATCCAGTTTACAGAACACCCTCTGAAACAAACCAAGAATTTCAAAAAAGATTTAAGCAAAATGTCATCAGTTGACAAATTAGAAGATGAGATCCATGACAGGTCAACAGCAAACCAACTCACTGTGCAAACGGCACATTAATGAGAAATAGGTATCAGTAGAAATAAAAAGATAACTCTATGACACAATGATATATCTAGTCGTCCCCTTGGTGGATGCAGTTTTTTGTTTGAAGCCCCAGCCTGGCTTCTGCTGGGGCATAGATATGGCCTAGCCATAGATATGGCCTAATGGCTGAAATGGGTTTCTGGGACCTCTACACGGGCGATCCTCATCCGCACGGTGACACTTTGTGTCACCAGGTGTTTATCGCTTGTGTGATGTCCTGGTGGGGTACAACTACCTACCTACTTCTGACACAATTTTCTTGCCAACCCTGTGCTATCAATGTTAGACCTGGACAATGACAGAACCAGACTAACTGAAATGGGATAAGACCAGAAAGCAATGATGTACAGACCAGAGGGAAAGCTAAGCAGAGGTCAACCATGCAAAGGATGGATAGAGGGAATAACAGTCCCAGGGGATCTCCATATATGCAGTACACAAACGGGTACTTTCCTATAAATTATATCTCATCTTGACTCCGTAAAGTCCCCCGTGTGGGTTCCGGGGCCCCGTTATAGGGAAAACAAGAAAAGACCCACTGCCTCCCCAACAAGCATGTTGTAAGAGTCGACTAACTGGGGGCTTCCTTTGAAGTCGGAGTGCATCTGCCTGAGAGGCAAGGAACCAGCAATCTGCATACAAATAAGTCAGATCTGTAAAACAGATGCACACGCAAAACTCAAGTCCTGGAACAAAGCCAAAGTCCAAAAATGGATGAGCAACCAGGTCTTTCCACTGGAGTTTATAGCCGGTGAACGCAAACAACAACAACTCTGTAAAGTATAAGAGGATCAAGATGAGATGAGACAGCTGTTACACTGTGCTACAGCTGTTACACTGTGCTACAGCTGTTACACTGTGCTACAGCTGTTACACTGTGCTACAGCTGTTACACTGTGCTACAGCTGTTACACTGTGCTACAGCTGTTACACTGTGCTACAGCTGTTACACTGTGCTACAGCTGTTACACTGTGCTACAGCTGTTACACTGTGCTACTCAAATACATACCTAGACTTGCTTCGAGAGCCGCTGCTCTTTCTATCCCTTGAGTCATTCTTTTGGCGGGTGTCTTTTTTCTTATCCACGGATCCACTCCTGGATCGGTCTGAGCCACTGCCAGACCTGCTCCGCTTCCTCTCATTAGAGCGGCTTCGGCTTCGCCTCCTGTCACGGGACCTGCTGCGCTTGCTACTGCGGTTGTAAGACCGGCTGCGACTCCTGCGTCTTCTGTCTCGAGATCGTGACCTGGTGACACATAAATACTCTTCTTTACAAAAAGGGCAAAGAAAACCTTTTCAAAGCACATCATTTCAAATAAATCACCAATTGAGGATTAATTATTCTTTAAATGTAGTTCAACTAACACTTTACAATTTCTTTTTATTTTCCTTCGCACTTAAAAGAGCAGTGGGCTTCTGTTTTGTGGTTTACAGATAGGCTACATTATCGGTGCATTTCAGCTCAATAAACTCATAATTATTAGCAAAGTGAGGTCATTATGATGCCACAACAAAAAAAATCAAATTTTTCCCCACCCCAAACATCTCTATATGTTTTAGATCAACTCATGTTCTCATACTATGCAGTTGCAACTTTCTTCTCCAGCAATCTCTGGTCATGCGCTTATTCCACTGTGGACTATATGTCAGTGCACAAGTGAAATACTGTGACTTGGTCTGTTCTGTTCAGTAGCAACCAGTACCAAAGCTGTTATGTTGTTGTTGTTACAGATCCAGAGGCACATGAGCTTTCGCCCTTTGGCCCAATGCCATGTAGTGGAATTTACATGTTTTTCACAAGCTGTTTTTTTCCTCCGTACAAGGTGTTCCACCTGTCTGGTCTCGGAGGGAGTAGCATTCTTCTAGTCTCGTTGAGTTTTGGGCACTCAAAGCGATGATGGTCAACAGTTATTTAGGGGTAGTAACATAGCTGGCACTCTGGGGAGTGTTGTGGCTGTATTCTGTTTAGGTGTCCATTGAGTGGAGTATGTTGTGTTCTGAATCTGAAGATGGTGGCCTGGTCCCTTCTTGTTAAATGGTTAATGCTGTTGTTAGGATAAGGGCTAGCCATGTGTCTATAAACCTCTCTTCCAGTATCTCCCATGGCCCATTTGTTCAACCAAGTCTCTTTGTTTATAGCTTTTATAAGTGTTTTTGCTGTCTGTAGGGTTGTCACTGTAAGTGGTTGTTCTTGTGTTGCTCCTTTCCTTGCCAATCTGTCAGCATCTGTTGTGCGGGAGTGGCCTGGAATCCACTGCATCACTGTTCTGATGTTGTATGAGGTAATGAGCTGATCAGCATCTAGATTTATCTTGCTTGGCTATGTCAGTTCTGCAGCTTTCACTGCCCTCCAGAGCTTGAAGAGAAGACATTGAATCGGTGAAGATGACAATACTTTAAGCCTTTGAAGGATAAACATCCATTACAGTCTTTAGGTGGTATACTGCTGTTTCCATTGCAATTCATAATTTGAGCACCAAAGCTGTTATATAAACAGTAGCCACTGCTTAAAGGAGTTACAACATCCTTTATGTGCATTAAATGCCGGTGTGATGGGAAATTAGCAGGCAGTTGGACAAGCTGGTTCTGCACTATTTGGTGGTGAACTGATGTATGATAAGTTGGATGTTGTGAGGGCCATTTGGGAGCGAGTGAACAGTGCAGAGGCACAGATAGATAATTACGGTTAAAGTTAAAGGAGTAACTTTAGCCACGAAAGTGGCGCAAATAAACAAGACCACAAACATAGCCGGTCAGTGTTGGCAGCTTTGGCTAGCTAGCAGCAGGTTGAATGTGGTTGAGTTTTTGATTTTGAACTGGAACTGGAAAACTCAAAGAAGTCATATCGTCAAACATCAGTAAATGCCAGAAATAGAAAACTCGATCAGAGCAACAGGGTTAATGGAGTCATACATGGTTACTCCCCATGCCTGCTTCCTAGTATCACTTCTGTTTTCATGTACTATAAGATATTGTATGGGTATTTAAACATATCATATTTTCTTTAGTGACTTTCATGTACTATAAGATATTGTATGGGTATTTAAACATATCATATTTTCTTTAGTGACTTCTATAAAATTTATGAACCTGAAAGGATTTTTTTCAGGGAATTCCCCAGGTGTCATGACCATTGCTTTGAAAGTATTCATGGGGTGAAAGGGCAAATCTCAAAGAAGTGTAGACAAGCTTTTCAAGTGTAAGTCATCACAACATGCTGGTCTGTGCATTTGCCTGCTGGCACAAAGGGCTGGCTCCAAATCCTCTAAGGTGGGGATTTTGTCCAGCTCCCATGATTTTAATGGAAGCCATAGACAGTATTTGGTCACATGGCTAAACCTCGACTGAGCCAAACATTATTTACAAATTGACAGGAACTGCTGAAACCATGTACACGGACATGCTCTGAGGTGAAACGACGATAGAATTGGTGAACGACCACATTAGTCACCAAGTAACCGATAATATGTCAGTGTTTGTGGTTATGAATTAGTTTTACAATTCTAACATACTAGATTTGATTCAGCTGCAGGTCATTTGGCAGCACACAGATTTGTGCTGATTTCGACAATGGTTTCAGTGTCAAGAGTTCAGCAGGCAATTTTGCAAACTACTAAACATCAAAGACAGCAACGTGATTCTTGATCGACTGAGCCTCTGCTCCAACAACCAGTGATGAATTAAGAACAATGGTAGACATAGTACCAGTAAATAATCTCACAGAACATCAAAGAATCAAGGGGTTTGGTCATGTGGTCAGAATCAAAACAAAATCAGCCGGCAGCTCGAGTGAACTACATGACAACAACAAGCTACAAGTCAAGAGGCCGACCATGAAAGAGATGGGTGGAAGAAGTAAAAGAGATGCTAGAGATACAATTAACGCAAGCTAGCAAAGGACAGGAAACTATATCCAACCCCATAAACAGTATGACAAAAGAAGAAGAACAGATATTAAAACAGAAAATTATAATTTAGTAAGAAACACGGAAAACAGCAGACAAAACAACTCATTTTCCTAATAAGTTTTTTTTTATGGATGTTGACAACCATGCATTGGGAGTAAGTTTTCTGCCTCTGGACATTGCATCTCTAGGAGCTACCAACTCTGAATTCCCTGCCAGCTCTGTTTAGGCTGATGTTGGTCAGTATCTGTGGCTAACCATGAGGATGAGTGACCGGAGCCTTGCATGAGGTTCTGTAAAACCCGCACTGAGGCTACTGGCCTCAAGGAAGGAGTGGGGGGGGGGGGGCGGGGGGGGGGGGGGGTGGGATCCTGTCACACACAGTACAAAAGCCTTTCCTTCTTTCTTTCATCATCTGACTGATACCAGGTTGTAGCCGAGAATCTTTGTTTTCTGTATTTGTCTTATGCTTCTCAGGTGGCTTGTATGATGGATTTACAGTGACTTTAACTTTCCTTAAATCACGTTTGAGCCTAGAGATGGCAGAAAAGCCACATACTTCCATGATTAACAGTTTATGTGGCACCGAGGCTAAAGGGCTTTAATGCTCACTACAAAATGAGCTATGCTCAAGTGCTTCTGGTTTAGGACCCAAAAAAAAAAAAATTTCTTAAATGCACTGAAATCATTTTAACCTGATCTACGTTATCTTAACCATAATAATTCCCACAATATTTCACATGACTCGTGTAGAATTTATCTAATTATTCAAAATGAATATGTAACAATCATTACCAATTTCTGATAAATGTAACCTATGGCACTTTCACAACATACCTTCTCCGTCTTGGAGACGGCGATCTCCGCCGGCCACCAAATCTGCCACCACCACCCCCTCCTCCTCCGCCACCACCACGCCCTCCCCATCTCAATTCAGGGCAATCGCGAGCCCAATGGCCAGTCCGTCGACAGCGGAAGCACTCATCATAGGTCTAGGAGTATTAGATCAAGAGATAATAATTCATATGTATTAGTCGTCTGGGTAATAATCGTTACTATAACGCCAACGGATAATGAATGGCTATATATTAGTACCAAAAATAGCACACTGGTGTTTACGTTTCTTTGAAATTCACAAAGCCGCCCGTGAGAGGGATCATGCTGCATGTGCTACACCGTTCCTTCCTTTAATACTGTTCACCTCTGGCATAATTACCACGACCTGTGACTCTTATGGCTCCCTATAACACAACGGAACACTGTCGCCTGAAAAGACGCAAACAAACAAACAACATATACTACCACCACAGTTCCCCAGATAGGTTAGGAACCCTATTTGGGGGGGGGGGGGGGGGAAGAGACCTACTATCCTCCAAAACAAGCATAAAAGGCAACTGACTAAATAGGGGCGTTTCCTTTAAAGTCGGAGTGCATTTGTCATAAACCAGAAGTGTAGAACAGATGTGCATGCAAAGCTTTCTGCTGGTGAATGCGAAGAAGATACAATGGTGGTATAACAGTGCGCTGAATTACCAACTACAGTACAGGGCTAAATCCACAGTAACATAAGCACCTAACTCCTGAGCAAAACCTCTTCTGCAGTTGACTTGCAATCACAAGACTCTACAGGTTGCCCCACAAGTTTCCATGTATAGAAAGAAAACCATTGTTTCAAAATACATTTCGATGGGTGTCCTCCACTGCGGAAGAACATATTTAAGCAAAGCCGGAGTTATTCTTGTAACGTTGTTAGTGACATGTTGATTTTTTCCTATGGATGGAAACTGATGGCAAATCCTATAGATTCCTCCCCCCCCCCCCCCCCCTCCCATGACAACAGCTCTTCCACTTAAAAGGAATTATTTGCATATCCCCATATCCACTCATGAGGTTATCGAAATTAAAAAAAGAGCTGCCGAATCACCTGCAGCTAAATCGAACCCAGGTATTATGAAACTGTGCTTATAACCCTAGGCTGCCCTTATGCAGGCACAAATCAACACAAATGAACTTGCCTACTTTAGCATGTAATCATTTATTCTGTCATGTATAGCCCTTCAACAATGAATTTCTTCCTCAAAATTTAATCTACAAAGGAAATACCCCAGTGGCTTTTGTTTTATAATAGCATTCAATGCCCATGATCCCCACACATATAATAGTATAGGCAGAAGAGCACTCTTCCCCCCCCCCCCCCCTTTTAAATTCTGGGTAATATTCTACTTTCATTAGCCTTTTCCCTGCAACTTCTGTTAGTCAACCATGCTGTTTAAAATATTCACATGTCTAAAAAATCACATCCCTTTTGCCTCTAAGTTCTTTCTAATGACTTACATTGAAAGACTTTAGTAATCTGTATCTGTCATTTAATGAAAGTCAAGCATTAAGTCAGAATGTGTTTCACTTAATGAAATGCTGTGATTCTTTAGAAGATTCAGCCCTTTATAATATTTTCATCTGCTGTTGCCATCATTAGACCCATAGATAACAATTAGCAGTCACGGCCCTAACAGTTAATATCTACGCATCACTTAGCACAGGGTATCAATACATTCATGACAAGGATTACATTATTTATGCATGACTGCACAAGGGGAGAAAAACAGAGTATTAGGTGTAGGGGCAACAATGGCTGCTCATATATTAGTCAAGTGGGAACAAAAGCATCAGCATTGATGGACCAGTTAGCTCTAATATGTGGGCTGCCAGTTAGCTCTAACAGTGGGCTTTTGGTAAGCTCTATTCTTTTATTGAACAGGCTACCAGTTAGTTCTAATGTCTAGACTACCAGTTAGTTCTAATGTCTAGACTACCAGTTAGTTCTAATGTCTAGACTACCAGTTAGTTCTAATGTCTAGACTACCAGTTAGCTCTAATGTATAGACTACCAGTTAGTTCTAATGTATAGACTACCAGTTAGCTCTAATGTATAGGCTACCAGTTAGTTCTAATGTCTAGACTACCAGTTAGCTCTAACATCTAGACCAACAGTTAGCTCTAATGTATAGACTACCAGTTAGCTCTAATGTATAGACTACCAGTTAGCTCTAATGTACAGGCTACCAGTTAGCTCTAATGTCTAGACTACCAGTTAGTTCTAATGTCTTGACTACCAGTTAGTTCTAATGTCTAGACTACCAGTTAGCTCTAATGTCTAGACTACCAGTTAGCTCTAATGTCTAGACTACCAGTTAGCTCTAATGTCTAGACTACCAGTTAGCTCTAATGTATAGACTACCAGTTAGTTCTAATATATAGACTACCAGTTAGCTCTAATGTATAGACTACCAGTTAGTTCTAATGTCTAGACTACCAGTTAGTTCTAATGTCTAGACTACCAGTTAGCTCTAATGTCTAAACTACCAGTTAGATCTAATGCCTAGACTACCAGTTAGCTCTAATGCCTAGACTACCAGTTAGCTCTAATGTCTAGACTACCAGTTAGCTCTAATGCCTAGACTACCAGTTAGCGCTAATGCCTAGACTACCAGTTAGTTCTAATGCCTAGACTACCAGTTAGCTCTAATGTCTAGACTACCAGTTAGCTCTAATGCCTAGACTACCAGTTAGTTCTAATGTCTAGACTACCAGTTAGTTCTAATGTCTAGACTACCAGTTAGCTCTAATGCCTAGACTACCAGTTAGCTCTAATGCCTAGACTACCAGTTAGCTCTAATGTCTAGACTACCAGTTAGCTCTAATGCCTAGACTACCAGTTAGCTCTAATGTCTAGACTACCAGTTAGCTCTAATGTCTAGACTACCAGTTAGCTCTAATGTCTAGACTACCAGTTAGTTCTAATGTCTAGACTACCAGTTAGTTCTAATGTATAGACTACCAGTTAGCTCTAATGTCTAGATTACCAGTTAGTTCTAATGTATAGACTACCAGTTAGCTCTAACATCTAGACCAACAGTTAGCTCTAACATCTAGACCAACAGTTAGCTCTAATGTACAGGCTACCAGTTAGCTCTAATGTGTAGACTACTGGACAAGTACAGAAATTTAAGTATCTGGACACATGGCTCACATTAAAATGTCTTCAATATTTACACATAGACTACCAGTTAGCTCTAATGTCTAGACTACCAGTTAGCTCTAATGTTGTAAAACAATGGAGCGCATCACCAACCTCAGACTACAGTGGTACATTGAAAGTGAAAACATCATTACACCACAGCAGGCGGGCTTTAGAAAGTTCTATTCTACGGAAGACCAGACAACATACCTCTCCCAAGAAATAGAGGATGCTTTTCAAGATAAGAAACTGGTACTCGCGGCATGGATAGATTTAAGGAAAGCTTTTGATAAGGTTTGGAAGGAGGGGCTTTTGAAGAAATTGAGAAACTATAAAATAAATGGAAAAATGTACAATTGGATTAAAGCATATCTACATAACAGAAGAGCCCGGGTACAGGTAGATGGTTTTAAAAGTAAAAAAGTTCTACTGCGACAAGGCGTCCCTCAAGGTGGTGTCCTGTCGCCCACACTTTTCCTTTTATTTATCAACGATCTGGTTGCCGAGATACCAAATGGAATCAAAATGGCAATGTACGCCGACGACCTGGTACTGTGGTGCACCAATGAACATGCAACGATAGCCACAAAAACACTACAGCGGGCTACAAATGCACTTGAGGCATGGGCCAATAGATGGTGTGTGTCAGCATCAACACAGACAAATGTAGCACCACACTATTCACCCTCTCCCCAAAGCAAAAAGCTGGCACCATCAAAATAAACGAAATACCCCTGAGAGATGATAAAGAGCCCACATACCTAGGAGTCACATTTGATGACAGGTTGACATGGAGAAAACATATCAACAAGGCAGCAACCAAAGCCAGGAGGAAGACAGCAATACTAAGAAAAACTAAGTGGAACCACATGGGGAGCAGATGGGAAAATACTCAATAAAGTATACAAGCAGAGCATACTTCCACACTTGGAATATGGGTCAACTGCATGGTGTTCAGCATCTAGTACCACATTAAAGGAGTTAGACAAAGTGCAAAATCAAGCGCTCAGAGTCATCACAGGAGGGATGAAATCAACCCCCATATTAGAAATGGAGAAAGCTGGGAAAACACAGGCACTGAGAGAACGCAGAGATACAAAGTTGCAAATACAAGCTGAAAAGTTCCTCAGTATGCCAGATCACCCGATGGAAAATAGATTTAAGAACCTAGCCTTGGGACGGTTAAAAAGAAGCAGCTTTATACACCAAGCAAAAAAGAATATGTAGACAAACTCCTGACCTTCCAGAAATTGGCTGCCCACTAAAAAGTATTCCGGAACAAACCCCATGGAGAGAAAAATGTAAACTAACGGTACAAATCCAGACAAATGTGAAAGGGATATTTGACAAGAAAGAGCAAGATAGTGTACAACGCAAAATGGCCACCCTCAGTTATATTGATGAAGAATACCCACAAGAACAATGGGTCAGAGTCTATACAGATGGGTCCGCAGAAAGTGCAGTTAGAAATGGTGGTGCTGGAGTGTACATCGAATTCCCAGATGGTACTAGGGATAAGTCCAGCGTACCAACGGGAAGTACTGCCATAACTACGATGCAGAAAACCCAGGCTATTAAGATAGCTACAGAGAAACTGCTAAATACCAACCTTGGCTCACAGTATGTGGTAATGCTTACAGATGCTAAATCAGTACTTGAAGCACTCCAGTCTAGGAAACTACCAGAATTGCAAACACTGCTGACACAACTCAGCGTTCAGCGAAGAGTCGTAATGCAGTGGATACCGTCTCATTGTGGAGTGCCTGGAAATGAGAAAGCTGATCAACTGGCAGGGGAAGGTGCGAAAAAAGAGCAGCCAGATGTACCAGTCACATACCACCAAAAGAAAAGAATCATTAAATCGATCAGGAAACCACCAGCCCCAGCACAAGACGACTATTTTATTATGGACAGACCAGAACAAGTCATTATCTTCCGCCTCAGAACAGGGCACAACCGATTACGTAACCACATGTTCACAAAATTCAAGATAGGTGTATCAGCCATGTGCACCTGTGGAAATGTGCCCCAGACCGCAGAGCATGTACTCCAGGACTGCACCGAATTTGACACATTAAGGCAAACCTTTTGGCCAGAAAGAACAACAGTGGAACGTAAACTCTATGGACCACTGAATGAACTAACAACGACAGTGAAATTTATACAAGAGACAAAACTGCTGATATAGATAACTTATTTCAGGCGAACGAAAGAAGAAGAAGAAGAAGCTCTAATGTCTAGACTACCAGTTAGCTCTAATGTCTAGACTACCAGTTAGTTCTAATGTCTAGACTACCAGTTAGTTCTAATGTCTAGACTACCAGTTAGTTCTAATGTCTAGACTACCAGTTAGCTCTAATGTCTAGACTACCAGTTAGCTCTAATGTCTAGACTACCAGTTAGCTCTAATGTCTAGATTACCAGTTAGTTCTAATGTATAGACTACCAGTTAGCTCTAACATCTAGACCAACAGTTAGCTCTAACATCTAGACCAACAGTTAGCTCTAATGTACAGGCTACCAGTTAGCTCTAATGTGTAGACTACTGGACAAGTACAGAAATTTAAGTATCTGGACACATGGCTCACATTAAAATGTCTTCAATATTTACACATAAATTAACTTACAATTCTTTTCTCTTTTCCACCTTTGGCCCATTCCACTGTGATAGTCTGTCCATTGAATTCTCTGCCATTTTCATATTTTACACAATCCTAAAAAAAATAAGTATGAGAGGTAGAAAGTGTTTAATGAAATGACAAAGTCACTGATGCTGTTAACTAGACCTGCTGCGCTTGCTTATGTTCTACAGTCGCTGTGTTATGTCAGTAACTCAAAGGTGTGTCTTGTCGTTGCTCAGCCAATGAAGGCCAATTGCTGCAATGTCCCGTTTCTACTACAGGGCTATTCGACCAAGATCACTCGGGGATTAAAATGTTGAAAATGGTGATTGTCAGAGGCTAGAAGCTCATGCCACAGCATACAACATAAGTGACAATGATCCATGGGCCTCTTGCTAGGCCTCCGCGGGCCACCTGTTGAATAGCCCTGTCTACTGTGATCAGCATTAAGTAGTCTGTCCCTTCATTTCCGTTAATGCTGCAGTGGTCTGCTTGGTTAGCCGACCCATTCTAATTGGCATGGATCATATGGATCTGAAGCACCCATGAGACAGCCACATTACTTGTCTTGTCTTGTCCACAATTGCCTCACAGCGTAGTGGGGAGTCGCAGTTTTCTATCCTGGGCCAGGTGTGTTGCACGTGTTGTTGTTAATCCGTGTTGCCTCAGGATCTCTGATATATTGTCTATCCATCGTACTCTCTGTCTGCCTCTTGCTCTAGGGCAGTAGTGCTGTTCGTTGTATGCTTGTAGAGGCAGTTGGTCGGTTTGCATTCGCATCAAGCCACACTACTCACAATATGAATTCAAGCCTTTAAATCACAAATGACTTTTCAATTAGATGTTTTGCAGCTGTAACAAAGTCTTTGTTTTTGTGTACTAATCAATGTTATGTTCACACACACACACAAAAAATGCATAATATGCATATCAAGGAAAAAACACAAAAGCAAGGATGGTAAACACAAACAACCATTCACTTACTTACACATACATACATACCTATATGTTTTTTCGCTTTAGTCTTTCCCTTCCTAGACCATAAAACCATTGATTCAAGAGGTGATCTGTCAGCCTTCTGCTTGTTGCTGGGCTCTGCTGTCTCTTCTGTTCTTCACTGGTTGCAGACACATAACCTTTTCTAGTTCATTAACAGGCGTTGTTTTCAAGGCCCCAAATATAACCAACATTCCTTGATTTTGGACTCTACTTATTTTGATCATGTCTGACCTAGCTACTGCTGCCCATGCTGTTAAACCATATTCAAGGACTGGCCTTGCACGTCCAGTGTTTAGTTTCTTGAGAACTTTCTCATTAGCTCCCCGTGTTGTGACAGCAAGATTTTTCATGACTGCCATTCTTTACCTTGTTCTTGTTATTGTTAGACTTGCCTCTACCTGTGTCTTCCATATGAGGCGGCAACAATCAAATATGGATTGATCCCATTTAGCGCTGACTTAACTAGTTTTTAAACCTGAGAGAAAGAACACAGTACATGTTTTTTTTTCTCTTTACTGATATTCACTAGCCATGTTTTCGACCATTCCTCTAACACTGATAAGGTTACACATACACACATGAATATGCATACAGATGAACTAGAACTAAACCTTCTATTATCTGTTCTAGTCAAGCGACTAATTCTATTTCCCATGTTTATGAATGTAACCTAACAGTAATATTAACACATGTTTATGAATGTAACCTAACAGTAATTTAACAGAACATTTCCATTTACCTCAGCATCTCTCCTGTCTTCAAAGTCAATAAAGGCATATGCTGCAAAATAAATCATGATGGTAATAAATATAGTCAATACACATAAAATTATGTCTTCACAACAAACATAATTTTAAATTTTGCATTATTATTTCTAGTATTGCTATTTGTGTTTAGAAACAGATTATAAACAGAATATTCATACCAACACTGTGCTACCAGTTCCAGACTTGGACATTATCAAAGGCTAACCTAGGTAAAATTAACAACTGTGTAGTCAAGAGAAGAGCAGCCAACTTCACCATTTGAGACAAAGTTGGAAATCATATTATCAGACAAGACTGTAGGAACAACACCATGCAGCAAATTCATCGAGAATCAAAAGATGAAATGGTTTGGTCATTTAGTAAGAATACAGCCAGAACAACTAGCAAAGCAGGGGCTACACAAGAAAAGATCTCAAGTGAAAGCAAGAGGCCACCTTAGAAGAAATGGAATGATGACATTAAACAGCTTCTACAACAACATAATAAAATGGTTCAGCAATCTAGTGAGATTGCAGCCAGACGAAACTGCATATGAGATTTTTCACAGCAGAGAATTTGGGAGGAAGGCGAGAGAAAGACCAAGAAAGAGCTAGATATATGGTGTAGATGAAACCTGCAAACAGATGATCAAATCCATCACCCAAGCCACAGTGAAACAACAAAAGAAGAAGAACGAAAATGTAGAAAAAGGCAAATATTGGAAAAAGATAAACAAGACTAGTTGGCATCAAAGCTAAAAATTGAAAGACAACATTTTGTCCGATGAAACTGTCTGCTTTGCAGACCCAGTTAAGAAGATTCTGGAAATAAATAATGTCCGTTGCCTTCTCCACACTGGAGGTTGGCTACAGTGGATTACTGTTCCCTTTGCGAATATTAAATGGTGAGGGCCCAGTCTCTTTGTCACGGTGCGCTCTCGTACCATTGTCTGAAAACCACGAGAGCTGATTTTTACTAGCCCACCGCGGGAGACGAACCAGAGTACTCGAGGGTCTTGAAACTGTTAACCACATTTGCTGGCTTCTGAGCCACTGAGAGCTTATCACACTTACTTTACTTAAACTGCTTATGTACATGTGTTATTTGTCCACCACAAGTAATGTAAACCACATAAGACTCATTAAAACAACAGTAAATGATCTTGACTATAAAGATGGCTGAGGAGTCTGCTTTGAGCCCAGAAAGTTCTTGAGCTGTGCGCACAACAGATATAAGAGACTCACGAGAAAAGGGATTTGTCACATGCTAATTTCTAGCCTGCCTCCATTTCTGTTCCAGTGCAACTTCTGCGACGTACAAAGCTGATGCACTGTTCAGCCATCCAGATAAATCTTGTGCAGTAGCACCTCATGTTTCTGTGCTAACGCTAAATGCTTTAAGGGCAGCTTTAAGTCTCCTTAGGAGGCTGTCGTGTTGTAGCGGCTAAATGGTTGCCTGCGGATTAGAAGGTTGTCGCATGACAGCCCACATCCTTCTTGTCTTGGACCTGCCCACGTCTTGTAACCTCTATGTAAATTAGCCACTTTCAAATCTTGGACAATTAGGCACTTTCAAATCTTGGACTTTCATCCATAGGTAAATAGTCCTTTTTTTAGTACTTATGCACAAGATGTCGGGTTGAGTACTCAACTATATCATAATTCTCTTAGGAATGACAAACTTTCAAGTTCAGCCACATAGGTAGGAGATTCATTGATAGTGAAGACAAATTCCAATGGCCTAACTACCGCTTTGGACGCAAATGAATCCCCTACCACCTCTATCGGGAGAGACGCTTAGCATGAACTCATTCTTGACTGAGCTTCCTGAGAGGACAGGCTCGGTTGAGCCTAACCCCCCCCCCCCCCCCCCAAAAAAAAATTACCTTGTCTCCCAGGTCAAATTAGCCTTGAATAGATACCAAGCAGTCTTGGGAGGTAAAGGTGGCTGGCGTGATGCTTACATCACCCACCAAGTGCCCATTGCTCTATAAAATACAGGTCTAGCCCTACTGAAGGCGTGGAAAAGGATCTTCACTTTTTTTTAGTGTCCTTAAATATTTTTCCCCTGTCCACTAGGGGATCTTTTCTCACACTCCACTTTACCACAGCTTCTTTGGAAGCTGATGGTCTGTCTGGTGTGCTAGATGCCAAGACCAGCAGATCTGATATGTCTTCAATATAGTGTGATACGTGTCAGGTTTGCCTTGTCGAGAACCACAGGCTTACGTATACAAGATCAACTAACACATATATGGCACTCTAATACTAACACTACCCAGACCTGCCGATCATTGTATATTAACACACATGTATGTATAATGTCATACAAAACCGAATCTTACTCCTCTTTTGCCTTTTATTCTCCAATGGAACTTAGGTCCCCAACTTACTTGCACCTGAGCTCCCTATGCTTTGCCATCACAGAGCAGCTCACCATGTCCTCCCAATCTGAATTGAGTTGATTCAAGAACCGATATCACAGCACTCTGGGCATTCCCATAAGCGCTCTGTCCCCATCGTCAGCAGCCAGTGAAGAGTTCCGATACTAATAGTGCCAGTAGCATTGTGATTAAAAGTCCTTCTTGCCTTTCCTCTGAGCCTTGAGCATCTGCCAGAACCTTTCTTCACCCCCCCCCCCCCCCTTGCATCAATCTCACCAGATTGTGGTGATCCATCTGCTCCTCCAACCTGTACACGCTTTCCCACAAGGCACTAACCACGGCTGCCTTATCATGCATCAGTATTCCACCGAGTTGTGCAGAGCAAGCCAGTCTGTCCACCTGTTCCTTTCCCAACACACCGGCATACCCCATGAAAAAATCCAGACAATACGCCTCACCCGTGACCTCCACAGTGAAGTCCTCACAATCTTCTTCTAGTCTCCTCCTGCACCCATCTCCCCCTAGCCCTTCAACCCAGCAGGCCCTAGTGAGAGGACACTCCCGCCACACTACCTAGGAGAACAATCTTTCCTCCTTCACAGTTTGTTGATTATCTATTGTTTTTTTCCCCTCAACTAATTCTTAATTAACTTGTTTTTAAGGTGAATATTTTTTACAACAGGAAGTAACTTACACCAATCCTAAGAGGTCTTTTACAACTAGTCTGGCTGTGTGCAGTCTTACTATTCTTTTCTTCCACCAAGCAAGCAGGCAACGTACAGGTAAACTCATCTTAAATACAGGTAAACTCAGCTTAAATACAGGTAAACTCTAATCTTAAATACTGACAAATGCCAATTTCAAAATTGTAGTACTTAATCTCTGACAAGCAGAGAAGGAACCATAAATAGCACTTACCCATTTCTGAGCCTGGCGGACAAATCAACAGAAATGGGTTAGCAAATTTTAAAAAATGCGTATGAGGCAAATAACATGTGCAAAGCAAAATAAGCATGTAACTTAACATTAACAGCTGATTATAATATGGTGTACGGCTTTTTGAACATATTAAATTTACTGTACCGGGCAAATATCATAAACAGAACAGCTGAACACATTAGTGAATGCCGAATAGTTCATTACATCCCTGTGTGGGCTCCCAGGCCCCAGTTTTGGGGGAAAACAGAATAGACACACTGTCCCCACAAGCATGTCCCAAAAAAAAAAACCTCCCAATTAATTAGGGGTTTGTTAAAACACTATGTTAGGCCAAAAGGTACAATTATCACAGTCTAGCTGCGAACTGCAGCAATTGAACCAATTGCTCCTTTGCAGGAGAAGCTTATTACAATCTAGAGAGAAGGGTGCAGTAAAGAATTACTATGGGATCTGGCAGATAATCTACACACTGAAACTATATTTAGAACATCCAGGGAAGGTTACTTTAACGATTTTGCTTGTTTACAGTCTTTGAATGGTGCAAAATTATTGAATTCCTTGTGATTATCATTTTCAGACAGTGGCGCAGTGATTTATGTCACAGGCGTGAGGGGAAGTTAAGTCCAACATGATGTGTATAAGAAAAAAATTCTCCATACGTCACTCGGGCGCCAGTCCTTTACTATCCTGGTTGTACGGAACCTCACGCAAGACCCCTACAGCACGTCCTCGTCGTGCGCCATGGATAATGTCTCAAATGAGCATTAACAGAGCTGTCAGGGGATCTCAGAGTTCGGCGGCCCCCAGAGGTGATGTGTCCTTGTGGCTCTCATCAGCCCGCCCCCATACGCTTGGGTGAAAAATGTTATCAAAACTCATTAGGAACATGAGTAAGTTTGCCAAACGTACAGCCAAAATTACAACCCTTGGTTAAAAGATTGCGGAGTAAAGAGAACACTGTTTACTGCACATCCTCTGTTAACCCTCAGTGTCGTCGTCACTGCGCTGAGGTATACACCACAACAGCAACCATCCATAGGCTGGCCATCCTTGTACATCCTCGGTTAACCCTCAGTGTCGTCGTCACCGCGCTGAGGTACAGCACAACAGCAACCATCCATCGGATGGCTAAGCCTAAATGTCCGACAAAACTAAATCATACGGATCAAAATCTGACCATCAAAATTTGTATTGAACTGAAAAAGACCGAATGTCCACACCCAAAGACCCCACTCGCCCGAGTGTTGGGACAAAACTGATAACGATATGTCTGATGCAGGATGTAAAATTCTGTCGGGCTAACGGCTCGTCAAAGAAATTTAACGTGCGAAGAAAAAAAAAAGAATGTACCTATCTGTGTGGTCACAAAAGTCCAAAACCCACGGGCTGCTCCCCGCTGACTTCCAGAGGGCGCAGACCCTGTCGAGCGGGAGGCCTGATACGGTTGTGAGGTTAAGCAGGCATGTGCAGGACGTGAAGATTCTTTGGGTGAGCCCAGAACCAGAGCGCCATGTGCCGGTTCTGCATGCATGGAAGCCTCCTTGGATGGCGGGGAATGCCCATGATCTGCCCCTGCCTTCCCTGGAGGGCTAACTGTTCCACAGGGGGCTGCCCCAAAGGGGTAGTCCGGGGGCAATACCTGCGGCGAAGGAGACAAAGTGGACACCACACAAGTCAGGCAACGTCTCGACCCACACAAAACAATGGCCACAGTCACCCTAGAAATAGGCCTGACGTCTTCCTTCGAAGTCGGAGTACAGCTGCCCAGGAGGCAGGGAAATTAAAAACGGTTGTACACGCAAAAATCAGGTCCAGGTGAAAGCCAAAAGTCCAAGCGGACGATTATCCTGGACCTTCCACTGGAATTCACAGCCGGTGATCGATAAAAAAAAAAAAAAAAAACCAGTGGATTGTCCAGTTTTACCTTAGAATTAGGATGTAAACCAATGTTGAAATGAAAACACAAGTTCAGGCTGCAAAACAAGCCTTCAGTTCTGAAATTGACAGCTTTTAATTCTGACAATGTAAACTTAAATTGTTCAGAAAGGGATTCGGATGGTGAATTTACACCAATGGCAGCTGAGCGGTCAACTGTTTAGTTCAGCACTCTATGAGAACCTAGAAATTCTTAGCCACAAACTAACCAAACAAACTTTTGAATTCATTAGGAAATTTTCCTGTGTGGGTTCCGGGGCCCTATTGTAGGGGGAAAATTGAACACCTACTGCCTACCCAAAAGCATGTTGTAAGAGTTAACTAATTGGGAGCTTCCTTTGAAGTCGGAGTGCACCTGCCTGAGAGGTAAGGAACGGATGCACACCTCAGGTCCTGGGAAAAGACTAGAAGTGATTGAACAATGAGAACTTTCCACCGGATTCTACAGCCAGTGAATGCAAAGAAGAAGAAAAAGATTAGAAAATGTAACAAATTTTAAAGTGATATTCTCAAATCTGGATATTCACTGCTCTTGTGGCTGCAAAATCATGGTAAGTGAATTATTTTGCAATATTTTGTCTTGTGTAAACATTCTCTGTTGTCATTATTTCACATCATCTCATCTCACATGCCCTTTTTTGTAGTGGAAATTTATGCAAGCCAAGTCTGCCAAAATGCATGTGCCTGAAAGAGTTAACATAACAAGTATATCCTAAATGGGGACTGCTTAAACTGAAATAACCTGGGTTGAAAGACAAAGATATTATGGGAAAACAGTCACCCCTGGTGACGCAATCTATTGTTTGCTTAGAGCTACCATAAGGGACACAATCTATTATTTGTTTACATTCACATAATAATGTTCTCTAGCGTTTAATTTTAATACTGTATCAGATTAGGCTTTGGGTTTTGGTTAGGGCTTACCTTAACCCTACTCGCAAACAATTTTAAGGAATATTATGTGGTATTATACAAACAATGAATTACGTTCCCCAACACGGACATCCTCAAGTCTTAAGTATTAGTAACTTGGGCAATCCTTGTAACGGCAACCCTAGGGGAAGCAATCTATAGTCTTCTTCTTGTTCTTCACGCTCACCGGCTGAAAACTCCGGCGGAAAGTTATGGTTGTTCGTCTGCTTCTGGACTGCAGTCCTGTTCCAGAACCTGAGTGTTGTGTGTGCATCTGTTTGACAGATCTGTATGCAGACTGTTGGTTCCTTGCCTCTGAGGCAGATGCACTCCGACTTCGAAGGAAGCTCCCAATTAGTCGACTCTTATGACATGCTTTTGGGTAGTCAGTGGGTCTATTCTTGTTTTTTCCCATAGTAGGGCTACGGAAACCACACGGGGGGCAATCTATAGTAAGTTAACATTAATGTAAGTGCTGGGCCCAGGGAACGTAATCAACTATTGTGTAAGTTCACATAATGCTAATATTCTTTCAGATTTAATACTGTTTGAGATTAAACTTAAGGTCGCCGTAAACAATAATTGACTACATCCCTAAGAGGGTCGTCCTTACTAGGACTGCCAAAAATAATTTATGTTACTTCAGTTCTCTTTATGACTAGTGGCACGTGAGGCTTCAGAGAGGAATTTCCATGCTTTCCTGTCCTGCACAATCTTCAGTGCAGTTTTCCATGTTGGAGATGTCGCACTCAGGTCACGCTCCATCGTTCGCCTCCAAGTAATTTTGGGCGCCTCTTCTATCTCGTTTCCTCTGGTATCTATGTGAGAGCTGTTTTGGCAGGTATATGATGTATCAGGATTCATTCAAATAGCGTGGCCAAGCCATTTTCATCTTCTTTTGGTTATCATACTACTGTCTAGTTTCTTGGTTTGTGACTTGTGGAATTTAGTGTTTGAGATTGTATCTGGCTGGAAATTTTGATTATCCTCCGAATAACGGTCTTAAATTATCGAGGCGGAAAATATACCCTAACAGGGCCTCAGTCACGTGTCAATTGCGCACTTCCAGGGACTAATAACGACACTGCCGAACTGCAAACTTCCGACAACTTCTGCCGAGAGTATCCAAGAACTAGATGGCTAGGACTCACGAGCAAATAAAATGAAGGAAGCTGCAGGAGATGCAGTAGCTGCTGCTTGTGAGTCCCAGCCATCTAGTTTAGCCCAAATCCACGTAGCGTGAGAGGCGTGGGGGTTATTCTCCGCGGTGGTGAAAGTCACCAGAAGCGCACAATTTAAGACGACGGAAGTGCGCAATTGACACATGACTGAGGCCCTGTTATATTTTCCGCCTCGATAATTTAGGACCGTTATTCGGCGGATAGCCAAACATTTTGATAATTCTATGTATGTAGACATGTGTGGTGGAAAGCATTGTGTTCATTCAAAAAATATTAATGATTGTTACTTAAGAACTTAAACAGGATTTATTTTCAATCACCAGATACATTAGATTGATTTAGAAACTTCGGCTCTCCTTTCAACTTCGGCCGGTAGACAAACATCGACAGCCGGTTAGTCGGAGTTATGAATCCTTGCTACAGTGCAATTACGGACTGGACAGGAGGGAGCGAAACAAATGACATAATTACTGTGTTTTGCCGATAGACAGCATACGGTTACGGTTTGTGTTAGGGTTAGGGGTAGGGTTAGTACACGCTCTAACCCAAACCCTAACCCTACCCCTAACCCTAGGGCACTGCACGCTGTCTATCGCCGACACATAGTAACTATGTCACTTGTTTTGTTCCCTCTAGTCCACAACGAAATGCGTCGGAAGAAGCGGTAATTGAACGCGGTCGCTAATTTGAGTGGCAGCGGGGGGTCTGCATGTCGAACTCACTGTGTTTTTTGATTCGTGCCGTCTCCAGTCCGTAATTGCACGGTAGCAAGGGGACATAACTCCGACTAACCGGCCGTCGATGTTTGTCTTCCGGCCGAAGTTGAAAGGAGAGCCGAAACTTCAATATGTAAATGTAATTGTCGGATCCTTTAAATTAAAGCTCTGCTACACTTTGCAAGCGTCTACTTGTATTTTATTTAATATAAACATAAAACAAATTACATCTTCATCGATACAGCATTAACATGCTGCACACACACGATGCAGACAGCATAGATGATGATAGTTATTTACAGACGGCAGCTTGTCACTTGTCGTTCAGACTCAGACAGCAAAGCGAGACAATTGAAAATGTTCGTTAAAATTAATTAGGTAACAGATGACAGATAACCACAATTACCATATTTGATATCGCAACGCAGCAAACGTCCATATGATTCAAAAATCTCCTCTAGATCTTTCTGACGAGTGTTTTTAGCCAACCGTCCAACGTAAATGGACCCGTCTTGACGCGGCATCTTGCAGAGCCTGGAGTCTCCGAGGAGCACAGAAATGGCTTCTGACTTTTAAATTTGCTGGCTATTCATACTGAATTTTTTGAGTGGTTAATGCTATTTATACGACAATTTAAGACAAACTTGCTTCAGACGAACACTCGAGTAAGATAAACACAGTGTTGGTTATTGCAATATTTATTATTTATCATCAATATTTTCAAGGTTCCCCTCCCCCAGAAATGATGAATGAATCAGGATTTGACATCTCTGCAATCGGGTAATAAGCTCACCTGCTCTGTCCCCTTCTTCAGTTGTCAAAGAAGAGTGGACATGATAATATTATCAGATGTAACGTGTGTTCACCCTCCCCACCACCCCTTTTTTTAAACTCAAGCTTCTTACACACCACGCCCCCTTTCCCACCGTTGAATCAATGTTACAGTATGGATTCCGTTCTACTGCACAGCTCAATTTATCCCAAAAGGCTGTCACAATCCACTTTAGCATAAGGTATCTTATCGCCAAGAGGGGCGGCAGCAGTTAATATGTCAGACTGCTCGTTACCTCGCACACCCGAATTTTCTGGACATAAATATCATTGACATCAAAGCAGTCGGGGCATTCACATAAGCTCTCTGTCCTCATCTTTAGCAGCATGCGTAGGGTTCCAGTTCTTATAGTACCAGTAACGGATTTTATATCAGTATCGCCTTTCCCTTGAGTTGAGCGTCGGCCAGATCCCCTGGTAACGCCTTGTAGCACCACTCCCCTCAGACCTCAATGATCTTTTTGTGCCTCTGCACTGTTCACTCCCTCGCAAAGGTCCCTGCAACATCTGACCAGTCACGCACCAGTATGCTACCAAGTGGTGCAGAGCCAGCCATTGTATCTGCATTTTCATTTCTCAACGTCAAAGTCAGGTTGCCTGGCATCTAAATGTGCATCAGAGTACCAGCAATCGACTTTGGTACTGGTCCCAAGCAGTTGAAGAACGACATCGCAGTGGACGATAACAGCAGCAGAGAATCGCTTTATTCGGCTTCGTCACTTCAGAGACAGGTTTACAACAACTTCCTCAACTGCGCAAGCTTTGCCAAAATTGACCTCTTTGGGCAACCAACATCGTCCCTTTGCAGATGACAATCAGTGGAGACTTGTCTAGTGACGATTCTTTTTTGTTGTTGTTGTTGCTGCAGCGTCATGATAGACGGTGTAGGGAAAATGAAGGTTTAGCCCCAATTTGTTTTGATGAAGCTCTGCTGCACGGTGGTGGAGTTGTAATGGTGTGGGGAAGGAATGATCAAGTACAAGGAAAGGAGTCCATTGGTGCACATCCTTTCAGGTCGGAGTGCATCTGCCTGAGAGGCAAGGAACTAACTGTCTGCATTCAAATAAGTTAGATCTGTAAAACGGATGTGCACGCAAAAATCAATATCTGTAACAGGTCTAAATTCCATAGATAGATCAACAACCAGGACTTTATGCCGGAGTTTACAGCCGGCTAATGAGAAGAAAAAGAAGATAATTGGTGTACATTGAATGAAGCTTGGATGCGCAACGATAAGTCCATGAAATTCTTCGAATACATGTCCTTCAATTTTGGGATGCCAACAGACATCTATTTTTCAACGGGACATCGCCAGTCGGCATTCTGCACAGTTGACCACACAGTTTCTGGCTGCCAATAACATTCAAACCCTTCCATGTCCATCCTGTCTGCAGACATGAGTCCGAAAGAGCACTTGGGAGATGAGCTGCAAAGACATGTTTGTCGCCGAAAAGTTGCTCCAGCCAAAGGTCGTGATCTGTTCCAGGCACTCCAGGAAGAGTGGGTAGCCATCCCACAGGTCCACATCTGTCATGTGTTCGTATCCATGCCCAGGAGATGTCAAGTCACCGATCCACGCAAGAGGAGGCCACATGTAATGTTGTGAATTCCCGGGGAAATCCCTGAGAGTTCCCGATGGGGAGGACACGGCTGGAGGACCAGTGATACAAGAGAAAAACGAGATAAGTGGGTCTCGTGCATCCCACGGTGAGCGAAATAAGGGATACAAAAAAAGTGTGAGACTGGAACGGAGGACGTGAACCGAGAGACTGGAGTAAAACAGTTGAAGTTCGGACCTGTTTGCGAGAGGTCGTATGAATGGACGCATGAGGAGAATGAAGGAATTGTGAGTACTTGTTATGTTTCGAGATGAGATATGAATATTTCCTACATGTCTTAATACCGAGTACACAGTTTCGTTAAAGGATGGATGGACGATTCGAAAGACGCTGATGGATCGAAGTAGTGTGTGAAAAGATCGACCAGGCCGTCGGAATCAGCCAAGCAAAACGAACACGAGGCCGGGAGAATGTGTGCCTACGATATGTTGTGATTCAGCGAATAAAAACATGTAACTGAATATTCGTCTCTGCTGTGTCGTAACAACTTGCTCTTCGCCAGAAAGCAATGTGGCTTACCAAAACATACCCCTAGGAGAGCACATTGCACCACACAACATATTTACGGGAAAGCCCCTACGCCTAAAATTATGAAATTAAGGTGAAGAATGTCAAATTTGTAAGTATGTATATTCCTTTCAGTCGCTATGGTTGTGTGTGTGTGTGTGTGTGTGTGTGTGTGTGTGTGCGTGAGAGAGAGAGAGAGAGAGAGAGAGAGAGAGAGAGAGAGAGAGAGAGAGAGTGAACAGTATATATACAGATACAGTGGTACCTCGGTATACGTTCGTAACTCGTTCCTGAGCTTTGGACATATGCCAATGATTACGGATACCAAACGAGTTTTCCAATTATAAATAAAGAAAGGATGATTAATCTCTCCACATGAAAAAACAAAACAAAATCTTTTTGGTTTTGGGAGGAAGAGATGTTATTGTTTGAGAGGAGCGTCCTCTTCCAATGAAACTTGAGGAATCTGAAACTTTGGCTAACTGGAACTGGTTGAAGCTCATCTGGTTTGACTTCTTTTAAAAATCTGCCCAAAGAACTTTGCTTCTGCCATCTCCTCGAGATGTTTAGGAAATGCGACAGCTTCTACGGCTGGTTTGGGCTTTGTTGAGGTGAGACTTCTCCGCAAAGTCAATGGCATTTATCCGTGGATTTGTCTCCAGAAAGGTAAACGAACAAAGCGCGCGGTGTCGTGTTTAGTTTTGACTCATACAAGTCCGTATTCTAAACAAAGGCCGTATAGCAGGGAAAGGTTTTCGCGCATAAACTGGACACAAAACGAGTTAAACGTATACCGAAGCAAACGTATACCGAGGTACCATTGTACTTAAACAAGGACATCTATACATGGTTAGGTAAAAAAAAAAAAAAAATAGCATTAATGCAAATTTTGTAGCTGGGTGGTGGTGGAGTGGGGAAGAGGGGGGGGGGGGTTGTCACTGAAGCGCTTTAAAAATGGGTGGTAGTGGAGAGCGGAAAAGGGGGGGGGGGGTTCAATGTGCATGAGCTCCCAAGTTCCGACATCCCTAAATTCAACCATTGTTTTAAACACATTATATCAAATGGTTCCAACAACAAAGTCAAGAAGAATAATAACAACAATGGGTGTCTTTGTTAAATCGTGTCTTTAATTTTGTTAAATTATTATCTTCCTTTCAATTGACAATTTTAACATGATATTTTGGAGACATCCGCTGGAGAAGCTGCATAATTTGTAGCCTTGAAGTCACTACACGTTACAAATTTCATACAGTTTAGGAGTAGAAGTAAGACAATCCGCAAAAAGCTGCATAATTTGTAGATTTAAAGACAGTATACGTTACCAATTTAAGACAATTTACTAGTAGAAGTAAGAGAATCTGCTGGCTAAAAAGATGTGCTCTAACGTCTTTTGCCCTCTGCGTCTAACACGCGTAAATAAACAAATCATCATACACGTGTTGACTGGACGCTTAAAGCAAGTAACGAGCGGTTACACTGTTGCCTGAGATGCATGTCGTGTTAGGCGATTAAGAATGATTGTCCTGAGACAGGCTATCTCATGCAAGGGGATATTTTAACTCAAAGCCTAGCCAACCAAGCCTAAGTTTTACGATAGGAGAGTTTTGAGTATGTTGCTAGTGGGGATGATAGTGGTGGTGGTGTTAGCAGCAGCAGTAGTAGTATCATCAGTAGCACAAATAGAAATAGTAGCAGCAGTATAAGAAGAAATATAAGGCGAACGAGGAGAAGAAGAGGAGAGGGAGAATATCATTTTCCCTTGCTCTAATGTGAAACTGGGAAAACATTAAAATCCCGTTTGGTCGAATACCGATCCTTCTCAGATGAAAGTGAAAAAATAGATCACTTTAGCAGGCTACCCACTTTACAATCCAACAGTAGAATTGAAAACAATTCAGAAAAACACAGGAAATACAATAAATAAATAGCCTAATTATTGGTTGCTATGGAAGCAGCCGTAGTTTGGCGGCTAGAGGCTCGCCTGCGGATTGGAAGATAGTGGGGTCGGTTCCTGACGAGGACCCGAATTTTTTTCAAAAATGACTTTGGCTCCCAGGTCTACCCAGCCTTGAGTGGGTACCGGGTGCAGTCCTGGGAAGTAAAGACAGCCGGCGTGATGCTGACTACATCACCCATCTTGTGCCGATTGGTCTATAAAATATAGGTCTAGACCTAAATGCCCTATACGCCTAAAGGCGTGGAAAAGGGTCCTTTTCTTTTTACTTTACTACAAGTTGCTCACTTTACAATCCTACAGTAGATGAAAAATGCAAACATTCCTCTGAAAACAGTGGAAATAAAACAAAATAAACAACCCAATCATTAGCTGCTATTTGTAGAGTAGGAGAAAAAGCACACCTTATTTTATTAATGCTTTTGATAAGTGTGTTAACGATTATGATATTCTTAGCTTACATGCTAAGAAAAGAGGGAACACGTACGTTCAGTGAATAGTGGCAAGCATCGCTTCGCGGTGCGAGTTAGTTTTCATCTTTTGGGTATATTCTCAAGAAATGCAGTGTGTTGGGAAACGAACACGCAAAGAGACTGACTGATTTTGGATAACT